AGACAACAATGGATACACAAGATGATGGGAGGCAAACAAAAAATAACACTTACTCCGAAGAATATCCAAAGAAAATGTCTTGTACAGCTGGCGGTAAACTCGGTAAGACAAAAATATCCAAGATAGATAGATAGATAGATATGAAAAGGACAGAGCTAGCTAGATAAATACGTAGTTAGATAGAAAGATACATATCAAAAGGACTGAGATACATAGCGTTATGGTCCAGGTTAGGACCAAGGAAGAACAACACGAACACAAGAGTAGAAATAACGAAGGTATATTATACGAAATAATAATGTGTCAGTCTGGTTTGGAGTGAACTACTATCGGCTCGACTCGATTCGATATTTACTTGCCCCCCACCCCACGAGGGAAAGATGTGGCACAAGGCCGAGTTTTACGTGGGTTTTCCGAACCTGTAGGCTCTGCCAAAAAATGCCCGTAGAAACTGCAAAAACAGAATCGGGTTGGTCAACCTCCCCGAACGAGGCTCTGTCCTTCGGCGGAGCCTCGTCTGGGTTCCTCTCTGCTCAGAGGCAGAGAGTTCGACCGTCAAGCTGAGAAGCTCGGCTTGATTCGTACGTCTCTCTTGAGAGGCGTAGTATACATAGTTTTAGGAAGAGTTCATTCTGTAGTTATAGGTAAGGACCCATGACAGATATAGATAGATAGATAGATAGATAGATAGATAGATAGGAATTGGACTGAGATAGATAAATAGATACAAAGATATGAAAAAGAAAGAGCTAGCTAGCAAGCTAACTAGCTACCTAGCTAGATAGGTAGTCAGAAAGATAGAAGATAGTAAAGGACTGAGCTAGCTAGCTAGCTAGATAGATAGATAGATAGATAGATATGAAATCGACTGACATAGATAGCTAGCTATCTAGATAGACTGAGATAGATTGATAGATAGATAGATATCAAAAGAACTTAGATATATAGATACATAGATATATCGATACATCGATATACAAAAGACAGAGCTAGCTAGCAAGATCACTAGCTACCTAGTTAGCTAGCTGGATAGACAGATAGATAGTGAAAAGCTTTGAGCTAGCTAGTTAGATAGATAGAAACATAGATAAATATATTGATAATATTAATGGTTTAAATACACATACATATATATAAAAACACACACACATATATATATATATTAAGAAATGGACAACGTCCGACAATTTATTTATTAAAGACATTTTTTTTTATGTTTAACGTTCTTTTTATAGATACAAGTATTTAAGCAAATGCTCTGTTTATAATAAACTGTATTAAATAACATTTACCGGCCTGAATGTCCGAGAAATTTTCATAGAAAATATTCGTTCTTTGACAGGATTCGAACCTGCATCCTATACGGAACCGTCATTTACGCTGACGTGCCTTACCGGTCGGCCACAAAGAAGCGTTCGGTAGACAAGGTCGAATTTACTGCTTATAAACTTCAATCTTCCATGAATCTCGTACATTCATAACTGCTCTGGCGTATCAAATGTAAACAAATGACGTCATATATTAAGAAATGGACAAAAAATAAAAAAAGGCTAAAACACTAATATTCCATGGTCATAATTTGTTCCACCGGAATCGTAAATACGATCCAATTCATCAGACCTACAAATTCAAAAAGAAAACAGAAAAAACAACTCCGGGAATAAAAACAGAATTTAGAGAAAGTGTAAGTATGAGAGTGTGGGACGAATGTTAGAGTAAATGAAAGCTATAGGGAGGGGTAACAGACGAGAGGAGAACAGGGAGGTCAAAGGTGAAGGTGGGGATTAAAATTTAACAGAGAGAAGTTTTAAAGATGGGAGTCAAAGACGGTTTAAGTGAGCAAGATACAAATAAATATGAATATTCTCGGATGTCTAATACATTTCTGAATCGCTGACCTCAAATAAATTAAAGATCGACACCGGAAAAAAGTAGACATTTTGTGGTGACACACACACACACACACACACACACACACACACACACACAATAGACGATATAATCTTAAAGATCCGAAGATGAGTGAGAGAGGGAGAAGAAAAAAAGCGTGTGGGGGTGGGGAGATAGGAGGAGACTAAAACCGAAGGGCATTTGTAAAAGGGCCGCTTTGTAATCAAGAAAATTTGACAAAAGTAATATCGACTACAAGTTACAAATTAAATATATATATTTATACACATACATCCATACACATCCACATATATATATATATATATATATATATATATATATATATACACACACACATTTATACACATATATACATACGGACATACCCATAGGTGCACATAAACATATATATATGAAACATTACACATCTCCATACAATTACATACACACACCCATCTAAACAAATAAACAACGTATCCCTCTATCTATCCATCTAACTATACATACATACCTATACAACCATATACATATACATGTGTATACATACATACCTAAACATACACACATATAAACACATCTACATACACATCTACCTACATATACATACATACATATACGTACATATATATATATTAATATATACACATATACACACACGCACATACATGTACGCACATATACATATCTATATATAAATCAAAAGGTAAAAGCTAAAAAAATTTCTCAAAATCAAAAAATTAATTAAAAAATAATTAAGGAACCATATCCATCCATATATACATTTAGAATATAAAAATATCCGGGTGGAATTATATTAATTTATACTTCAAGAACATTGAGGAAGACAACGTTAAGAATATTAAAATATTAAAAACCCGCTGAGTGATTAACGCGTATCCATCTCTAAATATTATAAGATTATCTGATTTTGCATATCAGCTATTTGGAAAAACTTCTACCTACATACCCACATACACATATATCAACACATGAATAAAGATTGTTAACAAAAAAATAAAAAATAAAAATAAATAAATATATAACGAATCACATAAACATACACAATGATACATATAGATAATCATAATAGTCATTCCATTAAAATGTCATGCCCGATGTTATTGATCCAAGATGGAACAAGTTAGAAAACCGTGTTTATGTTTTGAATCGATTTCTATGTCTACATTTAGAAAATATCTCACTACGAATATTTAGCAACTCATCTCGATTCTTATCTTTAATAATAAATTTTTTTCCGCAATGCACAGATCACACCAATCGCGGTATTTATTAAGGGTTCTAGCTCTTGATAAGTATCTCCATTCGAAATGTGGGGTTAGTCTCTTATCCACCAGACCCCAGTAGTGTTTGGATAAGGAAATTTGATTTTTGATGTATCTATATCTAAAAGAGCGTCTATGGTTGTATAGACGCTGCTTCCAATCACCCGCGGATATACCTATATATCTTTTTTCTGGTTTATATTTTCCTCGGGGAAGATTGTTGCCTCGTATACTACATTTTCATGCATACATTTACCCCCGATTGGACAATGGTCTTTATTCCTGCAATTGCAGGCAGGCTTAATAGATTGAGTTTCATTACTATGATAGTTTTTAAGTATTCTACAATTATGGAAAGATATAATTTTCTCCATATTTCTAACGCATGAATAACTAATTTTCAGTGTCTTCCTATTGAAAATTGTATGTAGTGAATGTTTATTATGAAAGTGTTTATCTATTAATCTTAGAAAGAAACTTCCTATATCAATGTTAGAGAGCCTGCAATACGGTGAGTTAAACCATATTACCTTCCTCTTTCTGTTTTTAGTTCTATTATTATTCTGATTTACTAGTTCTCCGTTAAAATTTAATTCTTGTCTAGAACCACTATTTTGAGGGACTGGTTGTATATAAATTTATTATCATTAAAGATTTGCTGGCTCGAAGATAGCCTATTTATTCTCGTATTCACAGTTTTGGGGATGTGATCTATCGCATGTTTAGGGTGGTTAGAGTGGACGTTGATGTATAGGGGTGTCTGATCAACTTTATGGAAGGTTTTAAAGGTATCATTAGATAGGTTGAGTGTGATATCCAAAAAGTTGACTATATTCAGGTTGGAAGCTGAAAGTCAAGGGACCATTGCTAATTAGGGACAAAGATTAGGCCGTTATCTCTATAAATTCCCACTTGGTTAAGGCTAACTACTCTATTCAAGGAGTCTAGAATGTATATGCCCACTAAATCTGCAATTTGGGCAGAATCGAAAGCTCCCACAGATATATCGAAACTTTCATTATTATTCTTCTCCCAAGTAGCGTCATTGTATGTAAGTATAGATCTTCTTGACGCTAAAATAATGTCCAGATCATTATCCGTTCTTTCGCTATATCCTTTATCGAAATTAAGGCTGTTAATTAATAGTTCCTCCGAAACAGAAGTGTAAAAATCCAAGATGTCAAATTGGATTAAAGTGGCTCTTCTTTTGTTGGGGATCTTTCGGAACCATCTAATCGTCTCAGCCGAGTCTTTCCAAAGGTTGACTGGACACATGATGTTATTTTCTTAAGAATACTCTTGGAGATTAATCCCAATTCAGATTTGGAGAGATTAATTAGACGGGACTGCAAGCTGTTGATAAAGTTCGGCTTATGATCTTTGAAGAGAGTGTATGAATCTTTCATATTAAATTTGCCCATTCTGTCATCAACTCCACATTTGTTAGCAAATATGCAGATGTCTTCATTGATGGATGATAAGGTGCCATTGTCTTTGTCTTTTTTATAAGAGCTGGTAATTTTGTTAGTGACGAGTTTGTCATATTCAGAGGGTTTAATTTTATAGACATTTTTGGATTTGTCGGCTTTAATCCATAATTTATTGGATTTCTTTATGTTTTTAGTGTCTCTACCAATTTTAGCTTGGAAGAAATAGGATAATTCTTGAACTTAATCTTTTTAATTAAATTGATCAAATCGCCTTTGAACGGTTCAAGTAGCTTGTCACACGGTGGAGTTTTCTGGGATTTCAGGTTATATGTTTCAGGATTTGGCTCTTGGTCATTTTTGGGATTACGGGAGAAAAAAGGTTTTCCACCTCATTCTTTTAATAAGATAGATAGATAGATAGATAGATAGATAGATAGATAGATAGGAAAATGACAGATATAGATAGATAATTAATTGGATACATAGATGTATATGAAAAGGACTGACATAAACAGACAGATAGATAGATAGATATGAAAAGGACAGAGCGAGCTAACTAGATAGTTAGATAGAAAGATAGATATTAAAATGACTGAGATTGATAGATTGACTGATTGATTGATTTAATGAAATAATAAGGGAGGGGAAGAAGAGAGAGAAGGCCTGGTTGTATGAAAGAGAGAGAAAGGATGGAAATTTTCTTCTTTTCTTGTAAGTAGAAAGAGAATCTGGCAGATAGCTAGAAAGATAGACCGATAGATAGGTTTCATGAGATAATAAGAGAGGGAATATATTGAAGGGGAGGAATGGTGAAGAAGAGAGAGAAGGAAAGGTCGTTATAAAAGAGAGAGAGAGAGAGAGAGAGAGAGAGAGGGTGAAATGGCCATTAACTTTTCGGTGAGAATTTTGTTTACTCTGTTGTTTTACTAATGCAGGGATGATAGAGGTTCATGCCTTTCCTAATGAATGTAATACAGACGTGAACGGGATTTGAACCCGGTTTACCGATTCCATTTTCCATGAGCCATCAATCTTTGAGTTTTCCTCTAAAATCGCAAAAGAAGGAATGAAATATTTGGAATTGTTGGAATTTCTCTTCCCCACCTCCCAGCTCCGGACCTCAAAAAATTCCTTGGAATTTACGAATCTTCGCCTTAGAATTTACCAATTCTTTCTCGTCTTTTAGAAATTCTACCCCACTCCCCTGACTTTTTGGTTTTCTTCTCTCCAGTTCGTTGCCAAATGTCAGTCTTCGAATGTCTTTAAATAGAATAAAGACAAAATCTCTTTCGAGAATATTTCCGAAAATTCACGGTCCTCCCCGACATCCACGAAGAAAAAGAAAAACACATTTCTTGTTTTGATGCGTGAAAGAGAAACAAAGAAAAGAAAGAAAAAAGAAAAGAAGAAAAAGTGTGAAATTAAAAAGAAAAGGAAAAAAAGAAAGAAAAGAAGAAAAAGAAAAGGGATAAAAAACAAAGAAATTAAGAAAAAATAAAAGGGAAAGAAAGAGAGAAACAAAGAAAATAAGAAGATGAAAAAGAGAGAAAAAAAGAAAAAAGAGAGAAAAAGAAAAAGGAGAAAAAAAGAAAAGAAAAAACAAAGACAAAAAAAAAAAAATACAATTATTTACCTGAACTCATATTCTTATCCAGAGACAAATTCAATTTTTAAGTGTAACAAAAATTAATTTTATTTTAAATTTGCATAAATTAAAAACAAATGTCGATCAATAATTATCGATTTATTTGCTGTTTTTATTGCCATTTCCAAAATGAAATTTAATTTCCTTTACGCATCTTCTGTCAACCATTGACGGTCGGAGATAAAAAAAAAATTAAACTGAAGAAAAATTTCAAAAAACAAATTTGAAAAAATTTAAATTTTATTTGCAACCAAAAAAAAACTTTTTTTTTTTAAATAATTTTGAAAATTTTCAATAAATATTTTCCATCTTTTTTTAAAAAAACAAACAATTTTTGGCGGGAAACAAAAATCCTCGGCAAATTTTCAGATTTTTCCGAAAATTTATACAAATTTTTTTCTGATAAAAGAGAAAAAATTTCTTCTTTGGTCGAAAAATAAAAAAATCCAAATTTATTTGAACAAAAATCGAAAAAATGATTTTTTATTTGCAATTTTTGAAGAATTTCTCCATTTTCATTCCAGACAAAGATTTCCGATGCTCCCCCTCTTGTCCCCCATAAATTCCCAGTCGTCGGATCGACACGAAGGCGGGTTAAACCACTCCCCTCCGGTGACCTCCAAGGGTGGATTGTTTTTATTTTTTCTCCATTTTTATTGAAACAAACAATTTCTTTAAAATTCCGATCACAAGCGAAAATTTTTTTCTGAATTTGACACAAAGAATAAAATTCTTTTTCTTTTGTGTTAATTACTTTTTGCTTTTTTAAAAATGGCGGCGATTTTTGTCGCGCCAAAAAGAAAAGTCTTCCCCTCACCCTCGTTCCCGACCCCCAAGGACAACAAACAACCAAAATGTCTTCGGGGAGGCGACACATGTCCCAGGGGCGGAATCCCTCTCCTCCATCCGTTAAGGGAAATTGGCCGACCAATTCCCCAGAATCTCTGAATTCTAGAATCGATTCGCTGTCCCAATCGCCAACAAAGACGTGATTGTCTTCGTCGCTGGCGACAATCGATGAAATCAACGACGGGTTCGATCCTTGCAGAGGGCATTCACTTTCCAGGTGAGTGCAGGGGCACCTTTCGTTTGAGTGTATCTTTCGTATATTGTTGTTATGTTTGAATGAGTGTGTTTGTAGTGAGTGCATGGCTTGTACGAATGTTTTATAATTTTAAAGTCCCGCATTGATTTCGTCCAGTTAACTGATGTTTCTGCCAAAGTTAGGGCTGTGGGTTTTTTTTTTTACTACTAACAAAATTTTTGTTTAGTTTCTTGTATATAGTTTTGTATACATATGTAAATACTCATTGGGGTTTTTAGACTTTTAAATTGTTATTTTTATTCTAAAGCACAGACAATGAATTGTAAATATGGGGACTAGTTTAGGACTTCATAGAGTTTCTGTGGCATTATGGTGGTTGAGGTCAGAATGATAAGTAAGAATGCGTTGTTTTGGTGAAAGGAATATTGTTTATATGCCTGGATCAGTGATTGTAACAAGCTAAGTTTAATCTTAAGACAATTGATGATCGTCCTTTACCCCATTCCCCCTTTCTGGCCTTGTGCCACATTTGTACCTTTTTACGTACAATAAATATTTTCACCTAAATATTCCGTCTTCAGCATGTCATGCGGAATACGTGTCCTTTTTTTTTGGGTAAGTAATTTTCTTTTCCATCGTAGGAGACACGCGACGCGCTGTCGCTTGGTTTGACGAGGTAAGTCGCCATTTTAAAGAGTTTCAACAAATTTCAGAAATAGCAGAAGGTTGAAAGGAAACCAAATTAACAATTTGAATTTCTGATCCATTTTTTTACAGAATTCAATTTTCTGAAAATGAGAAAATTACTTAAATCTTATTGGGTTGTATTCAATTCTTGATAGAAGGAGGAGGGGGAAGAGGAGGTGGAGGAGGAGGGGAGGAGATGAGGAGGAGGAAGAGGAGGTGGAGGAAGAGGGGTGGAGATGAGGAGGAGGAAGAGGAGGAGGGTATGAGCATGGGAAGAGGTGGAGTAGGAAGAGGAGGAATAGCAATCTTTGTATTGACAGACGTTTTATGACTAATGTTTTTAAAAAATTAATCCATGAAAGGCATGTGGATCAGTTCAATGACCCCCCCCCGTACAAAGAAATTTGGTTCAACAATGAACAGTGGCATGTAAAACTCATATAAGTGTAAAACTGAGAGAGTAGTGAAACAATTTTATCAAATTTATGTGTCAATTTTCTTTTTATATGTGGCTTTTCTTTGACACAATAATAAACAATAGGTAAAAATATTCTGAAGCAGCAAATTCCAAAATATATACAGCCGAGTTTATTGGACCTCCAGCACTGATTTTCAGTAATCCTTATTATAAATACATAATCTAACAAAAAAAAAAAATTTTACAATTATCTGACCTTCAACCTTCCTTTTATCCAAATAATATTATAAAACATTTAAAAAAAGTTGATTTAATCCAACTAAAACAATTATCTGATATCCAAATAATATTATAATATATAAAAAAAATCCCAAACAGAGACAGTTATGTTTTCCAACATCAATTTTCAGTGATCCCAATTCCAATGTCATATTCTACACTCATATAAAAAATTCTAAAATATAGACGTATGATGTTATTGCTATGAAATCCAAGGTAGATTTTTAGTGATCCCTATTCTATATTCATAATCTACTCTCAAATAAAAATATCTAAAGTATAAGTGTGTTGATATAATTCCTGTCTCTGACATGCAATCTCCATTTTTCAAAAATCCCTTCTAAAAATTATTTTACAACTCTCCAATCAAAAAACTTTAAATTATAGACAATTGATTTTATTCCAGACAATGAACATGAACCTCCATTTTTCAATGATCTGCATGTTAAAGACATAATCTACTCAGAATTTTTTTAAATTCTAAAAGATGTCTGCTTCTTCAAGTCTATAACCTCCAACTTCCAATTTTCTGTGATCCCTATTCTAAAGCCATGTTCTACTCTCAAATAAATATTTTGCCATTTAACATATAGAAAAAAAAAAGGATCGATTTAAGGGAAATTACCGAAAAAAAATCAATTAGTGTTCTCTCCCTTGAATAGATTGGTGTTAAATTTTTTTTAATTTGGTTGCTTTCTTTCATGAATCGAAATAAAGGAAGGTTTAAAAAAAAAAAAAAAAAAAAAAAAAAAAGGAAGAGAACATTTCTAAAATAATTTCATTCATTTCTGAAGATTTCCTGAGTCTCATTTACCGAGTTTAAAGCTAACGTCAAATGTTCGTGAATTTGATGATCGAGTTATGGTGTCTACAAAAATGGTCGTCTGTCATTTTATTTCCCGAATGAATGTTAAAATAACCGACTGAATCTTTTTCATTTCAAATATTGACTCCTCATTTTGTTATGCAAACATTTTCGCTACTATCTTATTTAGGCTTTTCTTTATAATTAATACATGGACGGAATACTCCTTAGACAAAATTTAAAAAAAAAAAGTATATATATATATATATATATATATATATATATATATATATATATATATATATAGGTTAGGTTAAAAAAAAAAATATCGTTTTTGACGTTAAAAATACGTAAAAAAACGATATTATTTTTGACTAAAATAAAAAATATATATATATATATATATATATATATATATATATATATATATATATATATATATATATATATATATATATATATATATATTATATTAGTTACCGCTACGAGATCGCTGAGAAAATGAGCATAGACGGATAATAAAGGCCTTAAACTTGATGAAAATAAAATAGCGGATTTTTGTGTGTGTGTTTTTAATGGCAGTCTTTAATTTTAAAAATCTTGTAAAAATAAAAATAATTGTCAGATTTTAATGAAACTTGCAGAGACTATTCATAACTATTGGAAATTATTATAAATATGTTTATTTTTTTTCTGAAAGTCATGGTAAAAAAATTTTTATATTTATTACCCCCCACCCCTATAATTAATTTTATGATAACTCATGAAATTATAATTTGTACAGTTTTAGTGATTAATTAGTTAAAAGCACAAGGCTTTGAGGAAAGTAAATCATTTTTTTTTAGTTGACCCCCTTCGACCTTAAAATCAGCTCTGAATTGTAACATACAAAACTCAATAAAACAAAGATACTATTTAATTTCAAAAGCTTTTAGTTGCTTTTACTTGTTTGTAGGAGTATGAATAATATTTTCTGAAAGCAAGAAACGTTTTCGATGTAAAATAAATTTTTACAACAATTATTTGTTATTTATTAAATTATTTTATTTTTTTTACATTAAAGTTGTTAAATATTCTAAAATTAATGAAACTCTTGTACACCTTAGTCAATGGTTACAATTTTTTATTTTACTTTTTTTTGTGCACCAAAATAGCTAAAATTCAAATATACGGAAGACCGGAAGCTTCATGAAAGGAATAGTCCATCACGTGGTTTGCGTTGGTAGTAACATAAACATTTTGACTATAAAATTCTGCTTTCGTCTAATTTAAGGCCGTCTTTATCATGCTATGTCTACTTAAAAATAACCAGGTAAATAAGTTGTTCACATAAAGCTAAACTGTCACTTGTGACCTTCCGTAGTATAACTTTTTCTCCCGTAAAATGAAATGACACACATGTCACTTGTCAATCAACACAACACCTTTGTTAAGCTCGGCTTTCTATCATTTGAAAGTACATTTTTTTTTTCATCGCAGAAAGTAAGTAATGTTTGTTTCAAAATACATTAAACTTTATATTTTCTAATTTTCTTAAATTAATTTAAAAAAATCATAATTGATTTTTCAAACGAATTTTAAACGGATAATTTATCTTTTGTAAACAAAAGTTTAAAAAATGGCTAACGGTCGTTTTTCTATCAAATTTGCTGATCAAAAAAAAAAAATACAAAATTTTTCTCGAAAATTTTGGACGTGCTAGAAATTATCAAAAATGTAAAAAAAAATATTCAAAAAATACATTGATTTTTCCTCTTGATAATAACATAAAGACGATAAACAAATAATTATTATTTTCATCAAGTTTAAGGCCGTTATTATCCTGCTATGCTCATTTTCCAGCGGTCTCATAAAGGTACCTAATATATATATATATATATATATATATATATATATATATATATATATATATATATATATATATATATATATAGTAATTTATTTCTTTTCTGTTCTCATGCTTCGAATCTTTGTCAGCCCAGAAAACTTTTACCACCTTAAACAGAAGATATTTTTTTATTTATTTATTTTGATAAATTTCATTTTGTTTTTCTTTTCTTTTCTTTTCTTTTGTTTAACATAACATAATTTATATTAATTACTATGATATTTCTACTAGTGGATATAATCTTTATGTCATATATAATGTGGAAGCTTGTATTAGTTGGCCTATTGCCCTCAGCCCTACTGTCATTATGACTATTCATTTTAGTTTTTGATCAAATATAAATTGCTATCATATCTAGCAATTTCCCTTACCAGTCGCTTATTTTTTTATGATGACGTACAATCATTGTCTATAGTAGTTTGTTAGTTTTTATTTCTTATAGCAATTAAAAAAAATATCATCAATCTGTGGTCCGTGGTTCAATTCCACCTTCCTGACAGCCATTTGAAAGCCCGTTGGCAATAATAATTACATTTTGCTATCTGGCCATTTCTCAAAAGTTATTGTTTCGTTTTGTTTTGAAATGATATAAGAAATAGAAAATCATAAACTTCTAATTCAGTAAAATATTAGAAAATAGAGAATGTGCTTTTTAGATTTTTTGATTCTTGAGAACTTAAAAGTCATATATTAATAGTTATATATATACATATATATATATATATATATATATATATATATATATATATATATATATATAAATTATTTATCTTAAAAGTTATATATATAAAAGTTATACGCAATTATTTCTGATATCTAAAGCCTCCATAGAACAATTTTAGATAAACATTAATCTGTCAAACACGTCAAGAGTTTAAATAA